ACTGTCTTGTTCACTTTATTATTCCATTGCTTTTTAATCCTGTTATTGGGCTATTTGTTTACAGTGACAACATATAAACTTGAAATAACAGCGACCGTATTAATTCTGTTTTGCTAATATGAAGGGTACAGTTTATAGAAATAGTCTGCCAAGGAGTAAGCAAGTGAGAGTAGGTTGGGAACCACTGATAGAGGATCAGATGCACTTTTTCAATGCCTCCAGACTCTGACAGGTGCCATGTGGATTTGCCTTTAACATTTGAGCCCTGGGGCCCAGGGAATATCTGCTAAGCACTGCTGTGCGAATTGAGATCTATTCCCAACTCCACACCCAAGCAGGCGCTGAGCTATTCTTGTGAAGGCTAAGTGGCTTTGAGACGGTGAACATCTGAATCAGCTAAATAATGCAGCTAATCCTCTCAGACAGGCCTCCGACATGCCTTTAAATCCATTTGCAAAATATTAAAGCCTCTACTAAAACTGTTTTAACCTTTGTAATATGTGAGTTGATGACTGTGACACCACCCCTCTTTGTACAAACCCAGAAACATTTGCTTTCAGCTAAGTGTCTTCTATCAATTCACTATTTGAAAAGCTTCGAATTCCTTAAGGAATTAGCAGCTTACATTCTTAATATACTATCAAAGCTACAAGACATACTCTACTGGCCCCAAAGTAAAAAGAACATTAACCCCACTGTTCACTAAAATTCATAGTCAGTGGTGAGGCATGATGGGTGTTGCAAATCAGCTGTATCGCATGACCTTTTATGCTTCCACATCAATCACTTGTCCAAAAGTACCTTGTACATTTGGATATCAGATTTCTCTAGTCTTCTAAAAATCTAACATGGAACATCAACTGCATCTTATACAAAGATTGTTGTTTTGTTCTGCCAACCCACCTCCAATTTACGGCAACCCTATGAATGACTTCCATAATAGCCTAACATTAAAAACTCTGCTCAGCTCTTGCAAATTGACGGCTTCCTTCACTGACTCAACCCATCTCATATTTAGTCTCCATCTTTTCTACAGCCTTCAACTTTTCCCATTACTATATTTTCCAGTAAGTTTTGTCTTCTCATGAACAAAACATGGCAGCCTGTTTCATCATTTTTGCTTCTATAGTTTGGCGTCGATTTGATGTAGGATCTATTTGTTTTTCTTTCTGGGAGTCCATGGTACCTGTAGAGCTCTCCTTTAGCACCGTATTTCAAAGCAATCATTTTTTCCGTTAGCCTTGTACACTGTCTAACTTTCAGGTCCATACAGAGCAACTAAAAATGCAGTAGCATGGATAACATTGGTCACTAGTGACCTACGTTGACACTTGATTATCTTTTCTAGCTCCTTCGTATCTGCTCTTCTGAGTCTCACTCTTCTTGGCTGCAGTCTCTCAATTTGGTTCGTTGATTGAACCAAAATATACAATTTTTTTTGACTTCTTCATTGTCAACATTAAGGTTACGCAGCCTTATGTAGTTTTTTTGGCCATCCTAATACTTAGCTGCACTTCTGTTTTTACACTTCTTTTGCATTATCAGTTGGGGAATTCCTATGAAGAGGTAATCCAAAATGAAATGAAGATGTCAATAAAATGAGGAAGGGGTGTTTAAAATGAAGCCATTTCAAATAAATAAAAAAGTCCCTCTTAAATAACTAATTTAAGCTACATTTTTCTCTGTTTCCTAAGCAACGGTGCAAACTCGAAACCTACTATCAGGTAGAGTGCAATGCTTAATAGTTGAGAAAATATTGTGTTATTTCTACATTTATATAGAATGCTTCTTTCAATTTAGTATATCTGATAGAGGGCACTGATGCAGTTTAGAGGTACCATATTTTTCGCTCCATAAGACGCACCTTTCCATAAGACGCAACTTGATGCAGTTTAGGAGGTAATTGTACGGCTAATATGCTCCTATTTAAAACTGACTAGGCTATTCTTTACAGCAAAACTGAGTTTTTACATTTTAAACTAATTTGGAATGCTAGCTTAACATTTGCAACCTGGCTAATATGCTCCTATTTAAAATTGACTAGGCTATTCTTTAAAGCAAAACTGAGTTTTTACATTTTAAACTAATTTGGAATGCTAGCTTAACATTTGCAACCTGTTTTCTATCCAACCTGTTTATCATTTATTTATTTACAAGACTTTTTTTTAGCCGCACCATTATCATTCTGACCCTTGTGTAGTAACCATCATCTTAGAACTGCGAAGCTGGAACGGACCCTATGGATTGAGTCCTAGTCAAGGAGGCACAGTGGGAAATTGAACTCCCAACCTCTGCCTAAACCACTGAGCTATCCATCTTAACCAGAAAACTGTATTCAAATCCTGTTCTACCGTGTCATGCTATTGTGTTCATGTTGTTTGTCTCTGTTCTGTTGATATTCTGCTGTTCCTCAAATAAGTTCAGTTGTTCCCTCTGCACAATCTCAATTGCACCTATCAACAATGTTCTAGCAAGGGGCACAGCTGTGCAGCAATCTGAACCTTGACTTCAGCTTTTCTAACATTGCAACTCAAATGTCAGCTGAAAAAGGATGTTTCGTAACCGAGTGTTGCAAAAGGAATGTTCGGCAACAGATAATAATATTCAAAATAAAGGCTGTTATTAAACCAACTCAAATGTCAGCTGAAAAAGGACGTTTCGTAACTGAGTGTTGCAAAAGGAATGTTCGGAAACAGATAATATTCAAAATAAAGGCTGTTATTAAAAGGTGAAGTGGATATCTTAAAAATGTACGATGGGTTGCCGCTCCTGTGTTTCAAAAAGCCTGTTGTGCTTTTCGGAACCAATTCTTGTTTCAGCAGCTTCTGTTTCGGCCCAACTGAGCGTTCGCCCACCTTGCAACCTTAGTGTTTTATTCTAAGACAGGAAAAACACTATGCTTTATTCCTGTCTTTTACTTACTCCAGCCAGATACTCAAAACTAGTCAGAAAAAAAACATTCAACTTCCGTTTGCAAATTACAAGGCATATGAACATAGAATAGTACTTGAGGTATAGTCCTTTTTCTTCCATACAGAACTATAGTTTAAATTTATTTTGAAATCTGCTATTGGGTACAAACGAGTCAACTGGACACTTTCAGCCTTTAGTGCAATCAGCATGGCTCTGTGTCAAGTTACAAAGGTCTCAAACATGCGAGCCCTTCACGCATTTGTAGGAAGTGGCAACAGGGCCCCAGAATAGTACTTGAGGTATAGTCCTTTTTCTTCCATACAGAACTATAGTTTAAATTTATTTTGAAATCTGCTATTGGGTACAAACGAGTCAACTGGACACTTTCAGCCTTTAGTGCAATCAGCATGGCTCTGTGTCAAGTTACAAAGGTCTCAAACATGCGAGCCCTTCACGCATTTGTAGGAAGTGGCAACAGGGCCCCACTCTACTGCATTTACAAAAGGTCTCAAACATGCAAGCCCCATTCACACATTTGTAGGAAGTGGCAACAGGGCCCCACTCTACTGCAGAAAGTCACGTCACTCCTTCTTTCACTCTTGTGTTGCCCACAAGAGCTGGAGCAAGGTATGCCTATAATTACAGCAGTTTCCTGTAGAATTTAGGTATCTGATCGTGCAGGGGGTCTGAACGGCACAAGGAACTTTCTGAGGGTGTAAGACACTTCTCTGCTTCAGATGTCATGCTAAGCACAAAAGGCATGCTCTGTCAGTGAGAGGAGACAAATAGGCACATACTTTTTAATACTCGCCTTATTTACAGAAGCAATATGGTACCATTGTATGGGACTAACTACGCTATCATGTTGTCTACTATTTCTCTGTTTCCCCTAACCATGGGCACTGAGAATGTATTCCTGCATGGAACTTCCATAAGAGTCAACATGCCAACAAAGGATTGCCGTCCTTAAGTGAAAATCAGCATAGGAAACATCGTTGAGGGAAACACGGTTCCCCAATTGAAATGCATTGAAGCCGACTCAATGCATTTGAATGGGTTTGCGAAGTCCCTTTTCGCTCCTGTAAAAGTATCTTAAACTGTTTGAAACCTGTTTTAAATGCTTGCAATTGTTAGCCCACCTCCTGAAACCTAAGCAAACTTAATTTGGTGTTGTTCTGAGTCTTGGTTAATTTTTTGTGAATTTTTTTATTCTCCATTGAAAGCCATTGCTTCTCAATGAGAAAGAAATTCACCAAAAATTAACGACGCCTCAGAACAACACCAAATTAAGTTTGCATACATTTCACAAGCTGGACTATTGATGCCAAGCATTTAAAACAGGTTTCAAATAGTTTAAGACACTTTTACAGGAGTGAAAAGAGACATCGTTGTGCGAAAATTCCCCATAGGAAACATCGTTGTGTGAGGCGGTAAATTTTTCCGAAAAAGCCATCGTTGTGTGAATTTATCGTTGTGTGAGGCACTCGTTGTGCGAGGCACCACTGTACTTTTTAATACTCGCCTTATTTACAGAAGCAATATGGTACCATTGTATGGGACTAACTACGCTATCATGTTGTCTACTATTTCTCTGTTTCCCCTAACCATGGGCACTGAGAATGTATTCCTGCATGGAACTTCCATAAGAGTCAACATGCCAACAAAGAGGGACCTTCAGTTTGATTCCAACTGACTTAAAAACAGCTTCTACTATAGGTTTCAAAATTAAGGACAGTCACCAGTCTAAAAATCATCTTTATTGCTTTCTTATGAAATCACAATAAGTTAAAAACATTTTAACAGTTTCCGTGTAGTTTAACTACACCTCTCTTGTTCTGTCAGTCCACTCTCTGTGATCCTCTCTTGTCCTCAATAATACAATCTCAAGCTTAGGGTTTAAAGCTTTTAAGCAAGGAGAGGTGTTGAAAGTCCGCCCATTGGGAAGTCCTAAGGATCTGTTGCTACAACCACAAAAGGCTTTGGTCTGATTTAGTTTGAAGGGTATCTTCATACCTTAAAACACTGGTTCTTAACCTTGGGTTACTCAGGAGTTTTGGACTGCAACTCCCAGAAGCCTTCACCACCAGCTGTCCTGACTGGGGTTTCTGGGAGTTGCAATTCAAAAGCATCCGAGTAACAAAGGTTAAGAACCACTGCCTTAAAAGCCTACACTAGCAGAAGAGAGAGACTTTGAATCTAAGGCAGTTCTGGCCAAATATGCAGCATAGAAATAGGCTAAGATGGGCAAAAAAAGAGAGAGACTCCTATGAAGAAATGGAATAGAACTGGAACATCTGTGCTTGACCAGCGCTCCTTGTTCAATGATATCCCCACCACTTATGGGCCACCCGATCCTGATGGTCAGTTGTTAGGACTCGATTGTCACATTCTTCCCAGCGCCTCACTTTCCCATTCTCTACTACTATGAACTTCCACTCCACTCTGGTATCAACCGGTAAGATGACAGAGTCCGACCAGAAGCCGTACTTGTCACATCTAAGTGGTACATAATGCTGCCACTGGCCTAGACACTCGTGGTCGCCTGTGATGGCAATCAGCTGGGCCTCTGAGTGGGTGATGTAATGAACACGGAAAAGCACATGGACAGTCTGAGGCATTGGAGACACCGCTGCAACCCTCTTGGCTTGGTCTAAGTCCTTGCAGCTGGCATCATCCACGCTGCTCTTTCTGGCGCTGGTGCCACCCCACGCTGAATGCTCAGGAACAACTTCCCATTCCTCATGGTCAACAGAATGATGTTGCAACTGCTCTGTGCATCTCTCCTCGTGCTTTTCACCAGAGGGGCCTGCTTCCACCGAAAGATTCACGCCGGGCACTGGGGATTCTTTGCTATGTGGTGGTTCAGAGGCTGCGGCAGGGTAACCAAACGGCGTTTCATCTCTGACATAGTCCTTGTAGTTCGTTACAGGGCTTCCGGATTGCTTATGCATTGACTCTGTCTCAGGAGACTCTTTAAGAAGGCTGGGGGCTGCCGTTCCTTCTGCTGGAGGAACCAACTGGTTTTCCACCGGTTCAAAATGATGAGACACATCTCTTGGCTTTGTTTCAGAGATAACATGATCGCAGCTTTTCTGAAGGGGTTCTAAACAGAAAGAATATTAGTTAGGCTGGAAGATGTTAATACTCACCACTTTGTCTCTCGACTCATGCACTTTGTCTCTCGACTCATGAATCTAGATTCCCTGCTCACGGACTCGCTTCTGCAATCAAACTATTCTCTATCATGTATTTCAACTCTGCCACGTACTTTTGATTTTTGTCCTCCAGTAATAATTGGTGGCCAGTCATCCCCATCAACAAGTCTACACCCCCTCCCAGCCTTCAGCATCTCTTCCCATAACGATCTAGTAGAATATTTTTTGAATACCGTACATGGATAAGTAATCTAAAATGTTTTTACGGCACGCACAGAAGTGCTGGAAACTAGTCTGAAATTACTACTGAGGAAGCACATTCAATTGCACAATCACAAGAGACCCGTGCCAATCCTGTTACTGTTTACTTGATTTAGCTCCGGTTGTCCAAGCTAAACAGGAGACAAATCCAAAAACGTAGCAAGCATGCTACAGATGAACTTTGGCAAAGAGAACCAGCCCTGACGGAAAGACTCTACTGCACCACACCCTGAAATCACACCCAATGAACTTCTGCCACCGCTAGCTAAATTAATCCTAAATGCCAGATGGTACTGACAGCCAGCTGGCAGATATAAAATACCAGAGGGAGACAGAGACTTCGCTAAGGCCACATAATAGGAGAAATGGCCCAATTAGAACTTTTCGCCTATATTTTTACCTATAGAATTCACCCCCACATATAATCAAACCCAACCTTTTCCTTTTTTCATTGTCTTGTTCATGATTTACACAGCTGATCATAACGGAAATGCAGATGCCATGCTCCCAAACCATTACCGCCTCTGCCACAAAGTTATGCATTGGCACTTCCGCTTGCAGCAAAGTTTCCCAACCGCACCCCTGCAGTTTATTGCCTAGGTTCTTTCAGCTTCTACAACAAGGGTATCCTTCTCTTGTGCCTTGAATATGCATAAAGTGACCAGCATGCCATTCCCACATGGAAGCTAAAAATAGCTGATGGCTTGTTTTTTAAATCTCTGTTGCCCATAAACGTCTGCAAGGCCAGTGCACAGCCTAGCCTTTAAGAGGCGATTCTCACAGGAGGAGCAGAACTGACTTGACAAGATAGGATCCGAGCAAAGCAAAGCAAAGGTCACCACTATGAATATAATCCGTGTGCCTTCCCTTCTAAAGGAGTAGAAGCCTGTGCTGTAAAGTCACCTAACAGGCCAGCAAGAAGCCAAGAAATTCCAGTTCGCTCCTTCAGGGACTGCACTCGGATCCTATCGCTTTTCTGTTATTAAGAACAAGAACCATGATAGCATGTGGGAAGAGAATAAATCCACTCTGCAGGGGGATTCCTACATATTTTTACATTCCTTCTTTCTGCTCCCATCTGTTGCTTACTTTTCATCCCCCCCCCCCGTGGAGTACTGTGTGTGCATGAACAGCAGAAGATCTGAAACCTGTATCTCCAGCAACGGCATATTCCCACATGCAAAGCATGGCTAGAATAATCAACAAGCAAGATAGAGAATAAATCCACTCTGCAGGGGGATTCCTACATATTTTTACATTCCTTCTTTCTGCTCCCATCTGTTGCTTACTTTTCATCCCCCCCCCCCGTGGAGTACTGTGTGTGCATGAACAGCAGAAGATCTGAAACCTGTATCTCCAGCAACGGCATATTCCCACATGCAAAGCATGGCTAGAATAATCAACAAGCAAGATAATTTATTTATTTATTTTTTAAAAAA